TTTTGCATCACGGGGAGAACAGGAAGGTCAACCAGTTTTTTCTTTACCCTAAACTCGCGAGGAGCAGAGCTTTGGGGATAGATGCTCTGTACGACCACCTAGGATTTCAGGCTGCCTATGCGTTCCCCTCCAATCAGGCTGATTCCAGCTGTGTCCTGCAAAAATCTTTAGAGGAAAAGGTCGGATCTACTCTTGATCGCTCCTTTTTTGGCCGAGAAGGCCATGATTTTCCCTACTGAACAGGCTTGGCGTCAGCTTGCCCGTTATCCCTTGCCGGACAAGGGCAATTTGATTGCTCAGGGTCCGCTTTTGCATTTGCAAATCAAGACGTTACGATTTTTTTTGACGGCCTGGTTCTTGAGAATAGATCCTCAGAGCCAGGGGTTCTCATGATCAGCGTAATAAAGACTTTGGTGGGCTGTCGCAAACCGGTAACCAGAGCCATTTTATTCCAAGGTCTGGAAAATAATTTGCCTCGTGGTGTACGTGTTCGGTACCGACCAGGGCCCTGGACATTCCGATGGTTTTGGACTTTTTTCAGGATGGGGGCAGATAGAGGACATCTCGATCAGCACGCTTGAAAGTACAGCTTCTGCTTTGAGTATTTTTTTTGCCCCCCCAGTTTTTTTTGCATGCTCTTTTCAACAAAATCCTTTTGTAGTTGATTTTTTTTTAGATCTCTCTCCAGGGCTAGGCCTGCTAAGGTGGGAGTTGCCCGAGTTGGGATCTGTCTCTGGTCCTAGGGCTTTGGTTCGAGAACCCTTTTTGAGCCATTTAAGAGGAGGAGAAAGAGAGAGGGGGGAGAGGAGTCAGCTTTCAAGTTTTTGACCTTAAATGATTAGTTTTTTTTGGTAGCAATCACATCGGCCCGTAGGGTGAGTGAGCTTCAGGCGCTCTCAATTAGGAGCCTTACTTGACCATTCTTAAGGACAGGGTGGTGCTTAGACTGATCCGGGATTCCTTCCTAAAGTATCCTCCTCTTTCCTCACAGGTCGCAGATATTGTTTTCTGCCGACCTTTTGTTCTTCCTCTGAAGGTAAAGAGGAAGAAAGCCTAGGTTTACCTGGATGTAAAGGAGGGAGTCTTATAATTTTATTTAGACAGGTCCAGAGAATTTAGGAAATCGGAATTCCCTTTTTGTTTTGTTTTCAGGCAGTGAACGAAAGGGGTTGGCAGCATCTAAAGCCACGATAGGCAGGTGGATTAGGCTGGCTTATTGGGGAATCTTACAAGGTCTTGGGGGATTCCGCCTCCTTTTGTTAAGGGCCCACTCAACTAGATCCTTTTGGCAGCGTCCTGGGCGGAGAGAGCCGGGGCTTCGCCGGAGGGAAATCTGTAAGGCAGCCACTTGGTCGAGGTTTTCCACCTTCGTGAATCATTATCGCTTGGATATCCTGTCAGATAAGGAACAGGGCAGTTCGGTTAAACGCAAGGTCCTCCAGGCGGTGGGACCCACCCTAAAGGGGTAAGTTCTCGTTTATCGTCTCAGATGGCATGTCCTGGAAGACATAGGAGAGAAAACCAGAGTTAGACTAACCGGTAACCTCCTTTCTCTACGAGTCTTCCAGGACAGCCGGTGTGGTAATTCCCACCCTTCTAATGTAACCAACCGAGAGAGTTAAGGTTGACTGCATTGAAAATTGTATTTACCTATATTTGTGTCTTTCAGTATTGCTTTCCGCTAGTTCTCTTTTAATAACTGGATGTTGAGGGCCCGGAGGCCCGCCTTTTAAAAGGTATGGGGGATGGTTGTTTTTCCTGATCCGGAGGGAGGAGCCCAAAGTCTCAGATGGCTGTCCTGGAAGACTCATAGAGAAAAGGAGTTATACCAGGTAATCTAACTCTGTTTTTTTTGGATACGGATACATAGGACATACATTGCTTTCAGATGGTACTTCTGCCTTACGCTTCACGGTCACTGTTATCTGAGAACTCCCTACACAGTGGATTAGTGTTAAATCATACGTAATCTAATTCACCTACTATATTCATTATTTCTACTGTTACATATTATGCATCTGTTATACTGTGGTACTTTGTCTCAAGATGATCCACACTTTAAACAAATGTCTTTAGGACCCGTCAGCGTTACGGGAGGAACATGCAAGATGTACAGTCAGGTCCATAAATATTGGGACATCACACAATTCTAACATTTTTGGCTCTTATACACCACCACAATGGATTTGAAATGAATTAAAAACAAGATGTGCTTTAACTGCAGACTGTCAGCTTTAATTTGTGAGGGTATTTTACATCCAAATCATGCATAACATTCCACTTCTTTCCCTTAAAAATCTCTTTGGTTGCTTTTGCAGTATGCTTTGGGTCATTGTCCGTCTGCACTGTGAAGCGGCGTCCAATGAGTTCTGAAGCATTTGGCTGAATATGAGCAGATAATATTGCCCGAAACACTTCAGAATTCATCCTGCTGCTTTTTGTCAGCAGTCACATCATCAATAAATACAAGAGAACCAGTTCCATTGGCAGCCATACATGCCCACGCCATGACACTACCACCACCATGCTTCACTGATGAGGTGGTATGCTTAGGATCATGAGCAGTTACTTTCCTTCTCCATACTCTTCTCTTCCCATCCCTCTGGTACAAGTTGATCTTTGTCTCATCTGTCCATAGGATGCTGTTCCAGAACTGTGAAGGCTTTTTTAGATGTCGTTTGGCAAACTCTAATCTGGCCTTCCTGTTTTTGAGGCTCACCAATGGTTTACATCTTGTGGTGAACCCTCTGTATTTACTCTGGTGAAGTCTTCTCTTGATTGTTGACTTTGACACACATACACCTACCTCCTGGAGAGTGTTCTTGATCTGGCCAACTGTTGTGAAGGGTGTTTTTCTTCACCAGGGAAAGAATTCTTTGGTCATCCACCACAGTTGTTTTCCGTGGTCTTCCGGGTCTTTTGGTGTTGCTGAGCTCACCGGTGAGTTCCTTTCTATTAAGAATGTTCCAAACAGTTGTTTTGGCCATGCCTAATGTTTTTGCTATCTCTCTGATGGGTTTGTTTTGTGTTTTTCAGCTTAATGATGGCCTGCTTCACTGATAGTGACAGCTCTTTGGATCTCATCTTGAGAGTTGACAGCAACAGATTCCAAATGCAATTAGCACATTTGAATGGAACTCTGGACCTTTTATCTGCTCATTGTAATTGGGATAATGAGGGAATAACACACACCTGGCCATGGAAGAGCTGAGAAGCCAATTGTCCCATTACTTTTGGTCCCTTGACAAGTGGGAGGCACATATGCAAACTGTTGTAATTCCTACACCATTCATCTGATTTGGATGTAAATACACTCAAATTAAAGCTGACAGTCTGCAGTTAAAGCACATCTTGTTCGTTTCATTTCAAATCCATTGTGTGGTGGTGTATAGAACCAAAAAATGTTAGAATTGTGTCGATGTCCCAATATTTATGGACCTGGCTGTATATGCGCGGACTGCGATCCGTATCTGTATATGACTTAATATGCCTTTCATATTTCAATAAAACTTTTTTGGAAAAAAAAAATAAAGTCACCCAGGCTATGATCCACGCCAAGCTAGAAGAAACAATCTTAGATACCATCCCTAAATTCAAGAACGTTTGGAACCCCTGGGTAGAGCGTTTCCTCCTCCCGCCAAACTTTGACAATTTGCTTCTCAACCCGTAATACATAATGTCAGGGCTCCGGGGTGTGACCAGAGGTATGTGAACTGACGCAGGGAAACGCAGACTTCAGATATGTTATAACAATATAATTTATTAACACTAACAATACATAAACGCAGTGCAATACTAAAACATAACACCCACAGATAACACTACATACAATGCAAGCGTCGTCAGGCAGGCCGGGTCAATAACAATCGGGCAGGTAGGAACAGGAGGAGCAGGCAGAGAGTAGTCAGGTCACGAGCCGGGTACAGCAACTAACGGGCAGGTAGGTACAGGGGGTCAGGCAGAGAATAGTCGGGGTCACAAGCCAGGGATCAAACAGGAGAAGTCAGCAGAGGTCCGGATCAGGCAGGGTCAGCAACGAATCAGTCAGACAGGGACAGGAACAGGGATGCAGGTAACAAGATACAGGGGCCCAGGAAAAAACACACACCAAGGCCCAGACTGCAGATCTGGCCATCCCTTTAAATACACCTGCATAATCAGCTTCAGGTGTTTGGCTGGCTGCAGGGTTGAGTCTCTGATTGCTGAGAGCACCCGCTGGCCAGCCCTGGTACTGCAGCCCACAAGGCAGGTGAGTCCCACCATTACTAGCAAGTCCATTCCTGACAGTACCCCCCCCCTCCTCAAGGAGCGGCCTCAGGACGCTCCAAACAGTCCTAGCTGGGCAAAATGTTCCACCGCCCGGATCTGGTAACGGGCAGGACTCTGGGCAGCGGCACATCGGGCTGGACTCCTCCGGGACTCGGGCAGCGGCACATCGGGCTGGACTCCGGGCAGCGGCACATCGGGCTGGACTCCGGGCAGCGGCACATCGGGCTGGACTCCGGGCAGCGGCACATCGAGCAGGACACCGGATCACCAGGCGGAGCAGAGCAGGCACCGGGCCACCAGGCGGAGCAGCAGGCACCGGGCCCCCAGGCGGAGCGGCGGGCACCGGGCCCCCAGGCGGAGCGGCGGGCGCCGGGCTCCCCAGCAGAGCAGCAGGCACCGGGCCACCAGGCGGAGCGACAGGCATCGGGCCCCCAGGCGGGGTGGCGGGCGCCAGGCCCCCAGGCGGAGCGGCGGGCCCCCAGGAGGGGCAACAGGCATCGGGCCCCCAGGCAGAGCAGCAGGCACCGGGCCACCAGGCGGAGCGACAGGCATCGGGCCCCCAGGCGGGGGCGGCGGGCATCAAGCCCCCAGGTGGGGCGGTGGGCGCCGGGCCCCCAGGCGGGGCGCTGGGCCCCCTGGCAGAGCGGCGGACACCGGGCCCTCAGGCAGAGCGGTGGACACCGGGCCCCCAGGAGGGGCGGCAGGCACCGGGCCCCCCCGAGCGGAGCGACAGGCATCAGGCCCCCAGGCGGGGCGGCGGGCGCCAGGCCCCCAGGGCGGAGCGCGGGCCCGGGCCCCCGGGCGGAGCGGCGGGGCCCGGGCCCCCAGGCGGAGCGGCGGGTGCTGGGCCCCCAGGAGGGGCGACAGGCATCGGGGCCCCTAGGCGGAGCGACAGGCATCGGGCCCCAGGTGGGGCGACGGGTGCCGGGCCCCCAGGCGGAGTGGCTGCTGGACCCCCAGGAGGGACGGCAGGCACCGGGCCCCCAGGCGGAGCGGCGGGCACCGGGTCATCAGGCATGACAACGGGCATCGGGTCACCAGGCATCAGGTCATTTGGCTCGACAGCGGGCACTGCGTCATCTGGCAAGGCAGTGTGGTACCGACGCGAGTCACCAGGCACGACAGTGGGCTGAGTCAAAAGGCACGGCAGCGGGCACCGGGTCATCAGGTACCGGATCGTCTGGCTCGACAGCGGGCATCGGGGTCACCAGGCATGACAGCGGGCACTGGGTCACCAGGCATCAGGTCATTTGGCTCGCCAGCGGGCACCACGTCATCTGGCAAGGCAGTGGGCACCGAGTCACCAGGTACGACAGTGGGCTCCGAGTCAACTGGCATGACCGTGGGCACTGGGTCAGACATTGGATCGTCTGGCCCGACAGCGGGCATCGGGTCACCAGGCATGACAGCGGGCACTGGATCATCAGGCATGGGATTGTCTGGCTCGACAGCGGGCATCGGGTCACCAGGCATGACAGCGGGCACTGGGTCATCAGGTACCGGATCATCTGGATCGACAGCGGGCATCGAGTCAACTGGCCTAATAGGATCATCAGGCTGGATCAGTTCATCAGGCTGGGTAGAAACATCATGCTGGGTAAAGGCATCAGGCTGAATGGAGGCATCAGGCTGAGTAGAGGCATCAGGCTGAGTAGAGGCATCAGGCTGAGTAGAGGCATCAGGCTGAGTAGAGGCATCAGGCTGGGTAAAGACATCAGGCTGAATTGTGGGCGCCGAGGCACCAGGCTGCACCACGGAAGGCAGGTTCTCAGATGGGAGGCTGACCAGTTTGGATACTGGCAGGATGGTATTGGTTGGAAAGAACTTTCGCCTTTTCCTGGTTTTAGTTACCGGAGCACTGTAAGTAAGCGCAGGTTTGTAAACGGATGGAGCAGCTGGAGACAGAGAAGAGCTGGAGGATGGAACAGGGGAGGGAACGGTTGCTACAGAGGGCTTCTTTACAGGGTTAAAGGCAGGATAGGTGCAGCAAGTGGGAACAGGGTACTGACATGCGGTAGATAGCAGGGTATACTGGGCTGTAACTGGAGGTGCTGTTGGGAATGCAGGAATAGAGCTTTGAAGAAATAGATTACAAGCAGGACTGGGTTTTTGCAAGCTGACTGAGGCTGGGTGCAACAAGTCTGACCATGTCTGCAGTATGGGTTGAACAAAGCTCAGCTTACACAAAGCCTGTTCTGACCAAAGACTGCACTGCGTTTATACAATCCCTTAATACCTGTGGTGAACATGCAGCATAATGTTCCAAGAAGCAATCCACATCATCCCTAATAACCATACCAGGGGACTCTACCTGGTCTGCACTAAATGGTGGCAAAAAGTCATTCCTGCTTTCAGGGGTACCAGATGAAGCCAACTCTACACAAATCTGAATCAAAGGTTGCACCTCAGAGAACTCTGTGCCCTGATCTACTAGAACATGAGCGATCCGTATACATTCTAGCAGTTGATCCCGGGTATACTCCCTCAGAGCCTGATAAGCATATTTCTCTGTCATCAAAAACCAGCAGCGACAAATACACAACCTCATCAAGATCCATCCTTCCCAGCAACAAGCCAGATGGCTTCCCTGTGCAGCCACTTCTGGTCAGGATTGGCCTTGGTGTAATGTCAGGGCTCCGGGCTGTGACCAGAGGTATGTGAACTGACGCAGGGAAACGCAGACTTCAGATATGTTATAACAATATAATTTATTAACACTAACAATACATAAACGCAGTGCAATACTAAAACATAACACAGTGCAAACGAACCAAACCAAACCACCCACAGATAACAATACATACAATGCAAGCGTCGTCAGGCAGGCCGGGTCAATAACAATCGGGCAGGTAGGAACAGAAGGAGCAGGCAGAGAGTAGTCAGGTCACGAGCCGGGGTACAGCAACTAACGGGCAGGTAGGTACAGGGGGTCAGGCAGAGAATAGTCGGGGTCACAAGCCAGGGATCAAACAGGAGAAGTCAGCAGAGGTCCGGATCAGGCAGGGTCAGCAACGAATCAGTCAGACAGGGACAGGGACAGGACAGGAACAGGAACAGGGATGCAGGTAACAAGATACAGGGGCCCAGGAAAAACACACACCAAGGCCCAGACTGCAGGTCTGGCCATCCCTTAAATACCAATATAGAAATGTGCCAAAATTATTATAAACTCAAATACTTATACAATCCGCCCCATAGAGTAACTCTATATCAATATTCCAAAAAAATTTTTTTTTTTTTTAAAAAGTCCAAAAGTAAGGATGATCATCCTTACAGCTCAGTGTCTGCAGATTACAGCGTCCCCCGTCAGGGCAGGGAGGAGCACTATAAATAGAACTGTCTAGCTTGGCGTCCGTATCCCTTATGATTAAGTCGATGACAAAACGCGTCAAGGGCTGTGACGTCAAGACGCATACAGGAACCGGAAGTCGACCGACGGCCATTTTGCTAAAGGGAAAAAGAGGATAAAGACTGTGTGTTGGTCCCTGGATGTTCCCTGGATGGTAGCTTGGCGGTTTTCATGGTATTTAAAAGCGGTTTTGAATCATTTTAAATGTGAGCAGTTTGAATAAAGTTTTTCTGTACATTACTTTGGCGGTATTACACCATTTGTCCCTCATATGCTTTCTGTCTATATGGTGCCAATGATATGGAGATATGGAAAATCCTGCTGAATACAGTGGAATCTGGGGGAGCACTTTAGGAGGATCCCATCCATAGGATAAATATTGAAAGCAGGTTTATTGAGGAGTGTTGGTAAGGGTATATATTCCTAACTATAGAAGTGGCACAGTGTGGATTTGTTTTTGAAGCACTGGAAGAGTGATTCACAGTACACAGTGTTTTGCACTAATTTATTATATTTTTTTTAATTAATTATGTTGTTTCACTTGGTGCACTTTTTTACACTAATTACCTAAAAAATAAATTACATTTTTATTTGGATAATCACCAGAGTGTTGTCACGAACATTTCATTATATTATAAGAATAATACACTATGTGATATTTTTCTTTTTGTTTGAGGTTTATCGTGAGAAAAGGAAGGATTGGAAGGATATCTCAGTTTTATAATATTTTTTTTGGAATTTTTTGGATTTATATTAATTTGCTTGGCCTTTTTAAAAAATTTTTTTTTGGAATATTGATATAGAGTTACTCTATGGGGTGGATTGTGTATAAGTATTTGTTTATATAATTTTGGCACATTTCTATATTGTTATTTCATATCTTCAAGGGTGAAGGTTTATTTGTGCTATGGGGAATTAAGTTTTGTTCTATATTGGTTTTTCTAATTTGTCACTTATTTGAGGAAGTGGTAGTTATAAATACATCCCTTAAATACACCTGCATAATCAGCTTCAGGTGTTGGTCTGGCTGCAGGTTGAGTCTCTGATTGCTGAGAGCACCCGCTGGCCAGCCCTGGTACTGCAGCCCACAAGGCAGGTGAGTCCCACCATTACTGGCAAGTCCATTCCTGACACATATCCCAAACTACTTTGGTACCACTCCTTACCATGCTCATATTCCCCTCCATTTACTGCTACTAACCGTGGAGTCCCGACTCCCTTCCTACCCCTCCCCTCTTAGCTCTGAACCTTCCCCGCCCCCCCTACCTCTTTTTTTTTCCCCCTATTTTTTTTTGGTTTCTCCCCCTTTTTTTATTATTCCCCCCCCCCCTGTTATAACTTTACTACCTATCACGGCCTCCCCTCTTAGCCTCTGACCTTCCCAACCCTAAACCCGCCCCCCCCCTCATCTTTTTTTTCCCCCTATTTTTTTTGTTGTTCTTCCCCCCATTTATTATCCCCTTTCCCCCCCTGGTATAACTTTACATTCCTATATTATGATTCCCCTACGCTACATTGGGGAGTATGCATATCTATTTGTAAAAAACTTTGTATGTACCACAGTTTATGGCTTTTTCATCTTCTGTCCCCTAAAACTGTTACTTTATCACTACACACTACAACCGCCATCCCCCCTCCCCTTTCTTGTAAAGTCTTTGTTGTCATTGATGCCTATTTTTGTACTTATTGCAATTTTCTGTACAAGAAAATGTATACGCCCCCCATTGTCCCTTCTTTTCCCGTTGAAATTAATAAAATATTTGAACAAAGGAAAATTAACCTTATTTATTAGGTCAACTTGTTTGTCCCCCCCTGTGTCTGCTCACTGATTACAATCCAAAATATAATTATTTATTGTACTTTTATTTTTGTATTTTGCTTCACAGCTACACTGCAGTTGGCTTGGGAACAATAAAAAATGTTTGGATTTTTTGTTTTGACTCCCCTAAAACTTTCTTGGAACATAAGGCCAAAGAAGTGGTCTCTTGAAATTTGGGGGGTCTTGTAAGTTTTGAGTCACTGAATCGTATATCCGTAGCTTCTTTACAAAGGGTAATGTACTTCTTGTACATCAACATTTCTTGGCCAAATACCATCAATGGAGTGAAAACACATGCTCTTCCATACCACTGTATTTCCTTCACGGCTCCATGCACTGAATAGAATAATGTCACTTTAGAAAAAGAAAGCCATAGTAGAATTAATGCACTCTATCATTTCAATCAGACTGAAAATATGGGTCTGTTAAATTTTTTGCTTGAAAAAAAATGTACTTCTTGTACAGGAACAGAACAATTAGGACTAAAAAAACTATCAATTTAGTGAAAAACAGGCATCTTACCCCCCCATAAGTATTTGCTTGCTCCTTGCACTAGAATAGAAAATGTGGTAGAAAAAGAAGCCAAGTAGACAAACACTGCTATTTTATTTGAATAGACTGAATATTCATGGGTCTGCATTAATTTTTAAAGAAAAACACAGAATTTGACTAAAAAATTTTTAGGAAAAAACACATGCATGTTTAAGTCTTGCTTGCGGTGTGTACTAGATTTGAAATTGATTTGTAAAGAAGAATACAAACACTGCTATTTTTTTGAATAGTCTAATATTCACTTTAATTTTTAGAGGAACAACACAAATTTTGATATATTTTTTTCTTCATGTTTTGATTTGGAATAGAATTTATAGTGCTTACCCCTAATTCATTTTTTATGGAAATAAAAGCTATCAGAAGGATTTTGAGCTTTATTCACTTTTTTCAACACACTACTATTATTTTGAACACAACTGTATATATATATAATATATATATATATATATATATATATATATATATTGTGGGGTTAGCTCAGGTGGGGGATCTCCTTCCCTGGGACAAAGGTAGACCGCACAGCAGGCTTTTGTAAAAAATCTGACTGGTTGTCAGCTTTATTAAAAGGTTTTTGCAGAAAAATAAACAAAACATGAAAATAAATCCTTGCCATCCAGGCACTAACTAAAAACAAAAGGCTTTTCCTCTCTCAGAGGTGAAGGGCTTCTCCCTGTCACCAAAATAAAACAAAAAAAGCAAACCTTTTCTTGCAGGTATAGTCCATACACACAGCTCTCTCAGAAACACCTCTCTGAGTCCCCAGGCCACGAGCAACTCCTTGCTCCAGCCCTGCCCTTTTTATACCACCTGTTGGTGGAGATCAGTGGAGTCCAAACTCTGGTCCGGAAACCACCTGCTTAACTGTGGCCCCGAAAACCGGAGTGGACTCCACCTAAATGGTCAGGTATGAGCATATGCGAGGTGACACATAGCGATCTCCCTCTATCACCTCGCCGTTCATCCTGTCACATATCCCCCCCCTCTGCTCAAGCCCCT